CATTTCTAGTCCCACTTGCTGTGGGCCTGTGCTAGGAAAATGGCAGGGCGTGAGTCTGGCAGCCTACTGCAGTCAAATGACCCAGGCACCAACTGGGTATTTTGTCTTTGCATCCAATTTGTTTGGATTCCTGAAGAAGTCAGGGTATTTCATGGGTCTTTGACAACTGACTTTTATTCTCTTGTACTGATCTGGATCTTTTTTTCACCTAATGTGGTTGCATGGCTATCATTTGAGAGAGTTCTGGCATTTTAGAGTATTCCCTGCTTCCCTTTGGCACACCTACTCACAGTAGTCTTGCTGTCCCGATAAAAACTCCCAAGGCTTTTGCTGATAAGGATACTCCTATAGCATACCTGCCACCTGAGCATCCTGTCTCCTCAGTGAGCACTAACCACGGCTTCCAAGCTGCTTGTCATGGCTATTCCCACACTGAAGGTGTGATCAGACTTGCAGAAGAGGCCTGCAAGTTCTCTGCAAGGCACGGAACCCTGAGGAGAGGCTCTTCGGTTGAGACCAATTATGAAATAATTCAATACAAGCTGATAATAAAGGCTTTTCTATCTCAGTAAAGCAGAGGAGTGAGAAGCTGGTGATGAGGAAAAGGAAACACCGGAAGAACCTGCACCTCTCAGCGTTCTTGGTCCCTGGCTTGGCAGATGTTCAAGAAAAGTTTCCTGAAAGGAAAAGCTGAGAGGAAACATAAAATTCTGCTACCAGGGTTATTACTGTCACTGAGCACTGGATTACTTTGTGGAACACCTTGCATCTTACTGGTTTTGACAGATGTTTAACAGATAGTTTTGAAACTCAAGGAGAGATTCAAATATTCTTGTTTGGGGATTCTAATAATGAAGCAAAATCTGTCATATTTCAGGGGAGACCTGCCAGACATTTTTCATTAATAAAATGAAAATCATGCATAGTAATTCTCCCGCAGTGCTGGCTACCCTACACATATGTGCGTTGTTACTCGGCTTCCTACTGCTTAGGAAATGGGTTCAACCACCAGCTAGCTCTGCAGCCTTGAGGAGAAACTAAGTCCACTAGGGCTCAGTAGTGGCTACTTCCCAAGACGGCATGGAGCACATAAGAGTCAGACCAATATTCAATTCAGCCTCTTTCAAAAAGTGCTGTAGAATCTTGAGGCTGCCTCCGTGTCTTCTCCAGGGTGCTCTGGTGCCTTGCATCTCCCCAGGCCTCCCTTGCTGGGTGCCTCTCTTGGCCTGTCTTACCCTGCTGCACTATGCTCTGCTTTGGAATGTTTCTTACATTTTCCCCCCTTTCCTTCACATGTTACTAGGGTTACAAGGAACACAGCCAATTTTCCTATTTCTCTGTCTGATTGTTTCCCCAGAGTAGAGCTCAGCATGGTATGGCCGGCCCTTCAGCAGGTCACTTGAGGAACCATTTAGTTACTAACAGTCAAAGTGACATAGGGTGATGTGGCTCTCATTTAGGAAACTTTAGCTAGGTCAAGGTCCATTGTAAAGATTTCTAATAAAGTGTGAACTTATTTTAAGAAATATTAAATATAGCTAGTGCAAATGTAAGAGGCTTTGGTTATTCATTTTGCAAAGTTTGAGTGAGTACTGGGAACAAATCCACTAGGGGAGGTGGGATGAGGTGCTGTAGTATGGCTCCTGCTATCCTGCTGTGGGGAGAGATCGCTAGGTTTGCTCCTGCAAAGCCCCATGCGCTGGAGAACTTAGACAGCAGGGTTTTTCTATAGCCCAGAATCTTCAGCCCTACTGGGAAGCAAACTGATTCTAATGCCTGTACTTTACATCCAGAATTTAAAATCTTTGAATTAGTACAAGGCAGTTGGATGGTTTACAAGGAGGACTACATTTCTTAAATTGAATTAGGGTTAAGATATAGAGTAGATTCACCAGCTCTAGTAGAACATTATTTTTAAAGGGAAATTTTACAGGAGCTTAAATCTATACCAATAGCTCCTTCCAGTCCTGCTGCATGAGATGTTGGCTTTTAAATCAGGGTATTTTCTTTGGTAGAAATGAATGTGTAGTTCTAGATTCTCAAAAATAATATAACATCCAAACTTGATATGAAACTAATAAAACCAGAAAATATAAATAAAATATAAATGATTTTGATGTGTAGTAAATCAGTAATAGGTAAAACTTTATTTTGATGGTAAACATTTATGCTAACTTTAATAATGGATTTTCACATAAAATCTTTAATTCCATCTCCTCAAGATATTGACACATACTGAAACATGTCTGCTGTTCTTAGTTTGCAGTACTGGGTTTTGTATGGTGGCTCTAACCTCCTAAACAGGAAAGTCAGTCTATCCGTGACAACCATATCTCTTGACAGGAAACATAGGAGATGCCAATGGTGTGACAAATGGAGTGCACTGACAGGGAGGGGCATCAGCAAACAGCCCCTCTCAGATGTCATCGCTTGAAGGACACGTCTGTAAGAAGTGGGCATACTGCATACTAAGGAGGCGTTCAGTACACTTGTACAACATCTGATGATAAAGGCAGTCTCGGAGTGTTGTGCCTGTGATACCTCAGACAGTGACACAACACAGATCTGCACTGCTATAGTCTTGTTTTACCTCACTCAAAGTCCTCAGTATGTGGCACATATTACAACTAAAGCGCTTTCTTACCACCACACTCTTACTATCAGTCTCGTGGTGCTCTGTTATTGGAACTGGCAAAGGGAAGAAATACACGGTAAAACTGAAATGCATGGTTTAAAGGAGAAATTAAAACAGTTTCAGTGACAGGACATTTTGTTGTCTAAATAACCCTGTAATGAAGACCAACTTGGGAGATGTGCACTGAATGAGGACACCTGATGTAGCTGGGATCCGGGCTGTACAGAGTGCTAGTAAACATTAGTGAGTAAGGACTACTGTCCCTGTTAAATTTGGGGAATAAAGGAGACGCAACCACTGGAGACTACTCAACTCATCTTGCTACAGGTCCACAGCCCCC